CACCCTGGCAATAAGGGAAGCAGTCACACGCTTTGACCTCAGGACAGCTCCAAAGTTGCTGGCAGTCAACCTTCCTTTCCTGAACAAATGCCAGTTTGGGTTGGTTCGCTGACCAGTGGTAGCCACCTGTAATATTTGTAATAAAGATTTCATGTGACACATAAAATGGATTTGTTGATGGGAATTAATGTGAATAAATTAACTCTAGCTTAATAGTACTCTCGCTATCACTACTCACCGACACTCTATAAACCTTGTCCCTCATGCTAGCTCTGACAACACCGGTAAGCACACCTTCATCTAGGCTGCACTGTTGTACGTGTCCTGACTTGTAGTGGTTCTCTCCTCTATCTAGACTCTTCTTGTCATCTTTGTAAAATGATATCAGACTGGTAATTGACACAGCCATGACTTCTAGTGAAATTCAGTGTGGCTCAAATGAAAAGCTTTGTTAAAATATGCAAGTGCGCGAAAGTCAGTTGAAACGATCTTAAGTTGGCGTGACGTTGAAGTCGTGCGACCCTGCTGCTGTACTGGCTTGTAGTTCGTTTATAGCATAACGTTAGCATTTTCTGCCGAATAGATTTATTATTCAAAAATTATAAAAGTAGGGTTGACATGTGGATATTATCCGGCTGAACAAAACGTGATCCATCTCTTAAATATGTGTCAACCACAGATCTTATTTCGAGCTATTTTCCAAAATCCTATGGAGAAATTGCATTGCGTTTTAGACGAAGGAACCGGAAGGAGTTTACTTCCGGGTTTAAGGACGCGTCACTGCGGCTCTCTCATCTAAGATGCAGTAACGAACTTCACAGATGTGAGGTCAAGATCAAAAGGACTATAGAGTTTCGAGGAAATGCAAAAATACAGGAAGATGAAAAATAATCTCTAGTTTTTCTAGTTATTGACAATCAATACATAAGAAGAAGTCAATATGTTGAAAACCTTATTTTATAAATGTATAACCATGATTTAATGGCTTTGAATCCCACAACTTCAAATATCCCACGAGTCAAGTATTACAAGGCTTCTGAGGATAGGGCCAGATCTGACTTTTTTGTCAGAAATCCGAATTTAAATTGAAAAAGAAAAATCACATTTGGTCAGATCTAAAAAAAAGATGTTTACAAGTGGCCTTAACCCTCTTCTGTATGCAGTCATATGAGGCTACTGATTTATTTGTTCATGCACTTTCATTAAAAGTATAACAACTCAGTGAACATGTGTCTTTGGTGATAGAAATGTGATTTAACATATCATTACTGGAAGAAAAACAAAACAGTGTCTATGTACTGTATGTATCTATGTTTGGCTGCAAAGTACAACGTTTAGATGTTTCAGCCGTAAACATGGTTTCAAATGTTTGAATTTTAAACAAACAACCAACAACAAAGTTATGGATACCATTATTAGTTAATATAATTAAATAGATAATAAAAGCAAGTTAAATAAAAAAACACAATATATGTTGTACAATCACAACATGATTTACAATGTTTGATGCACATTTACATCTTTGGCAAAGGGTTCCAGTTCAATAACCATGGTTACAGGACATTTGGGAGAAACACATTTTGATATAATTTCTGATACTTTAACATTGACGACATTTAGGTCTATTCATTTTTGCATAACTCTGTTGAGAATAACATGCCCTTCATGGTGCACATATTTATTTTCAGTTTGGTGGAGTTAAAGAGTCCATACTCCGCAAATGTTCAGGTTTATATTTGTATGTTGTGTCTCTACTCTCACATGTCTCCATACTTTAATGTTCAAAAAGCTCTTTCTTTTTCTCATACTGCCTGTGCTGCAGCACCTCTTTTCACCCTCTGTCTGCTCTGATTGGTTAGCCGACCCGCTCTGTTGTGATTGGTCAACTGCTTAAAGATGTACATAGCGTATCACTTACAATGTGTTGGAGAGATAGCCAATAGAAGCACTAGTGTTACATAGTGATGTCACTATGTTACAGAAGTAAACAGATGAGTCCAATGGAGGCGTTTCAGGCATGGCAGAGGCAGAGTGTGTGGGAGAGGGAACTTTGGGTTTTTTATTTTTTGCAGACCATTTACATGCACTAAAACCTATAGACCACACTACAGGAAAAGGAAAGCATAGAGCAATTTAATGATCAAATAACATATCCATTCATCAAGGAATTGAACAATAATAAGCAAGTAAACCAGGGGGCTGTCGGAGGGGGGGTCCACTGAGGTTTCAGACTTTGGTGATTTCCTTCACTGTCAGACTGAAGTTGGCCTGAGGTACGAACTGCTGGATTAAAGTGTGCAGCTGAAAGACACAATCATTTTCATTTTCTGGTCACATCAGGTTCTGCACAGAATGTCACAAAGCACTAAGTACTGCAATGTTTCTCAGGATATGTTTTCAGAAAGAGAGTTGGACATGAATATGGATTTGTGAAGACGGAGCGAGGCTAGCTATACCTCCTGCAGGGTCGCACCTATGTTGGTCAGATTCAGCTCCTGGGTGGACTGGAGAGCCGCCACCAGGACTGCCAAAGCTGTGGGACCTATAAAAAGATACATATTAAAGTCATGTCAGTCGTTAGGTTGAATGAAATGATGCAAGCCTGAATGTACTTACCGTCTACAGGAACAGCCACGGTCAGCGGGGCGGGGCTTGTCTGGGGTGTCGCTGGAAACGAACAACATTATGTCATTTTATAACCAGTTTTTAATAAGCTTTCTGCCTTCCATCTTTAACTAAGTCTGTGTTATTTTACATGTGGAACATAATAATACAGGATTACCTTGAGACGTTTTTATTTATTTTGTATTTACTTTTAAACCTTATATTCTTATACATTTTGTAGCTTTTTCAACATAAGATTTCAGGTACTTGACCCAAAATGATGTGCTATTTTCTATAAGCCATGGTTTGTGCCTTCCAGCTTTAAGTATATGTTCTTGAACCTTGACATACGTGTATATGTACTCTATGATTACATTGAGCCTTGAATGTTTGTATCCATTTTTTAAATCTTTATTTGTCATGACGTTTGTAATATTTTTTCCATAAGATAAGAGCTATTTGATGATGAAACTGTAAAGCTAATTTATTTGTACAAGCTGTATTGTCTGCCTTCCTTGCTATAAATTACTTTGTGTTCTAGTACCTTGACTGTACATAGTATTAATATTGAATTACCTTTATTTATCATAAAGTTTTGTAGTTATTTTGCCATAAGATTAGAGGTATTTTACCAAGAATGATGTGATGATATAGCTATTTTTTATATGCTATATATAGGCTTCCGGTTCAACTAACTTTTGTGTACCATGACTCAACATATTAATATTGAATTAGCTTGAGAATTCAATTCTTTATAATGATATCATATTGTGTTACCCCTTATCTATCATAAAGTTTGTAGTTAAATTAAATATATATAAGATTTGATTTCTTACCATGAAATGATGTATTTCTATATATTCTTTTTATAAGCACTCTCTGCTTTTTGCTTTATTGTAAGCTTTAATAGTGAATTATCCTGAGACTAGAATTTTGTTGTATGTTATATACAGTATACATTTTAAACCTGATACATCATAATCTTTGTAAAATGTTTTGCACTTAAAATTTCACCTCTTGACCAAAAATGATTTTTTTGGTATAGTAAAGCATTGTTTATAAGCTCTGTGCCTTCACGCTACAACTCACATTGTTTCATGTACCTTGTCTGTATACATTAATGAGGAATTAGTAACGATTTTTCTATGTAGATTTCAGATCCAAATAGGATCTTGTGTTCTCACCTGTCTGAACAGCAGTTAGCGAACATCCAGCCAGCAGCACCAGCAGCAGCAGCAGCATCATGTTGGAGCTCTAGTGAAGTCTGAGAGCAGTTGTGTCCCCGCAGAGCGTGTGACCTGTTCCAGGGACTGAGAGAGGTGTGGCTGCAGACAACAATACAGGTCAATCAACTAGTTACCTGGACCAAACCCAAAGACCAAACAAAGATTAAAACAGCAATGGCATATGTCTGTAATGCTACTTCCTCAAAGCAAAAATAATGCCCTGCCCCGCGTTGTATCCAAAGAAAAAGTTTGAATCCAGCTTGAAAAAAAAAAAAAACTGCTGAAACACTTGCTCTACATTTAGTTAATTTCTTTTTTTAAAACAAAAACGTTTTTTTTTTTTAAAGAAAAAGCAAAAGAGAAAGATGTTAATAGTTTTTTCCTTTTGAATGTAGATGTATTTAATTGAAAGCATTTTCACATAGAAAAACATTTTTTTTTAAATACTAAATAATATTGTATTTAAAAGAACAATTGTCACAAAAAGTAAAAACAAAAGAATTAAGATAAAAGGGTCATTGTTCTTTTTTAAATAAAGGTTAAGTGAGTTTTGTTTTACAATAAATACGTTTATTTATTATACCATTTTCACAACAAAAAAAAAGAAATACGTGGAGATAAAAGACAAGAGCTTGTATAGTTTGTCTTTATTTGAGTCACACTGTGGGAACATCCAGTATTTTAAGATTCACATTAATAAATATAATAACTACAAAGTCCTAAGAACAATATATACTAAAATCACCAATAAAATACTTTTTGTTGCATCAAAATGATAGTACATTTGCGAACTGAACACTGCATCTCATCAACCATAACAAACTAAAACTATAATATCCTCCTTCTCTTGCTCTTCATTCCCAGCAGCAAGATAATACATCTGCATCACTGCGGCTTTCTTAACTTCCTGCTGCTGCTGCTGCTCCCGCCGCTGCTCGCAGAGCTGGATCCTCTGGAGATGGTGAGAGGGGGGGAGGTCAGATCCAGGCCAAGCTCCACAGTCTTCATCAGAGGGGGGTGCAGAGCAGAGGCCCGGGGGCTGCTGCCGGCTGAGGACGCAGGAGACCTTCACCGCAGAGAGGAAACAGAGATACAGGCAGAGCGGTTATATGTCGTGTTGGTCAGTAATTATAGACGGTAACCTATTCATGTTAATAATGTATTTAAGATTAAGTAGATTAACGACACAAAAAACAGGATAGTATTTGGGATATCCTCCCAATAACCTGTTTGATTCAGTAGCTATATCAACTACTAAAATGTGACAACATTTAAAATACTTCTTAAGCTAAGTGTTTATAAGCTAGCTCGGCTTGGTTAAAGCATAACATGTGGGTTAGTCACAAACCCTACAACCATGCCTTTGTCAGACATAACTTTGCAGTATTTACGGAATTGAGCATGAAAGCATCGCAATCTCATCCATTGTAAACTCCGTTATTTAGCCAAGCAGGACTGTGTCGCCAATGAAGCTACGAGCTAACAGCTAACTCCTAACTCCTAACAATAACTAACGGTCCTCCTGCAGATTTGAAAATGGATGTAACATTATCACCATCGTTGCATAGCCTCTTCTGGGCCTTGGCCGTGGGCTGGAATGAAAATCAGTTTTAAGGATACAAGGCTCCCATTTACAAACATCACATTTGATGCTAATCCCATGCATTTTGGGGCAAAAATAATTTGTTTTATCCACAGTGTTATTTTTGACCCATTTATAAAGGGTATATTTAAATATTTTTGCATACTCAAGTCCCTAAATAGTTTGGAAACTGCATCAATTCTGTAGAAAATATATATAATATTCATATTATCATTAAAATGTGCTGAGAAGAGAAGTCCTCGCCGTCCAATCCACTTCTTGCAGGAAGCTCCAAATGTTAAAAGTTATCAAAGTTGAGCAGGGATTTTTCCGTTGGATTTTGGATTAATTGTTGACCATTAAATGTCAATTAACGAGTGTTTACAAATGGTTGCATTTTGCATCAAATCTTTGCAATAAATGGTGTCAACCCAACAATTTCTGCAACAACCTATAAAACACCATACCATACACCATGTTCTAAGCCCTAATACCACACATTGTAATCTTTGAACATTTCACTTCTGACCAGAAAACACTGCACAGTGCTGCGCTGTATCTTCAGGATCCCAGCTTTGACATGATGTATCACTTCTGTGTCACATTTACTGTCGACCCTTCAAAACAAAAGACAGAAATGGATCTATGGTTGGGTGAAAGAGGTTGAGAAGAGACCCTTTCTGACCTGAGAGAGGCCGAGCTGTAGGGAGAGCTCGTCTTGGAGCTCCGCTGGCTGGAAGGAGTAGAAGACGGAGATGGAAGAGACAGATTGGCCTGAGACAGAAAAAAAGGGAAGTTCATATTTAAATGAAATGCCTTGAACTACCTCAAAAATCACAGTAATGCACAGCCAGTCAAATGCTTAACCAATCCTCCAAATATAAAAACAGCATAAGGGTTTTACACCTGCAGGAAGTATTCCTCCACCACTGATCTGAGGTCAGGTTTGTCTTCCATGGTGTCGTACAGCTTCTTGTTGATACTCTTATTAAATTCTTTCAACTCCCTCAGCTTAATATCCTTCTCCTCAAAAGTCTCAGTGCTGGTGTTTTTTGCTGAGCGGATCTCTTTGGTCAGCTTAGAGCACTGGGGAGGAAAACGTCAAATTAAAATGTGATTATGGAGACAGCTAATACATGTTTGGATACCCAATACAAGTGGGACAGTGGACATCCAACCTGCTTTGTGGCTCTGTCGACCTTCTCCTGCTGACTACAGATTTCTTTGTTCAGTTTACCCATGAGGGACTGTTTGTGCTCTATCTTTTCTGTCTCCGCCTGCTCTTCTTGCCGCAGACTCTCCCAGGTATTGTTCATGTCCTGGAAATGGAGAGTGACAATCACACAAGAAAAAACTAAAGCAAGGCCCAGAGGCAGATTGATACCAGGTCAACTTAACAGAATAACTCACAAAGTCAGAGTAGCTAAACACGTTTATAAATGGTCTCTCGGGGACATGAAAAGACAACAGAACAAGAGACTTGTATGACACTGAAGAGGAGAGACAAGAATGAAGAAAGAGCGGTTTTAGGGGGAAATTAGAAACACAACAAAAGCAGGAAATGCAAATAATATGTCTGGGGTTTTCCCTCTCCTGTAGTGTGTTCTATCGGTTTGAGTGCCAGGTTCAGGACATGATGATTCAGCATGTCTCCACCTGCACACCATACGTGTGAATGTAAATGGTCTGCAAAGGCTAAAATCCCTGTTGCGGCTTTCACACCAGCGCTTCTCCCTTTTTAGCTCCGAGCGGGAGCTTTTCTGGTTCAGCTCCGGTTTCCCTTTTCTGCTTCCGCTCTGTT